AGACAAATGCAAAGTTCTAAATGTTGGACAGGACAATAACCATGCCACATATAAACTAAATAATGTAGATCTTAATATTACGGATTGCGAAAAAGATTTAGGAGTTCTGGTTAGCAGTAATCTGAAACCAAGACAACAGTGCATAAGTGTTCGCAATAAAGCTAATAGAATCCTTGGCTTCATATCAAGAAGCATAAATAATAGGAGTCCTCAGGTTGTTCTTCAACTCTATACATCCTTGGTTAGGCCTCATTTAGATTATGCTGCACAGTTTTGGTCACCGTATTACAGAATGGATATAAATTCTCTGGAAAATGTACAAAGGAGGATGACAAAGATGATCCCATGTATCAGAAACCTTCCCTATGAGGATAGACTAAGGGCCCTGAAACTGCACTCTCTAGAAAGACGTAGAATTAGGGGGGATATGATTGAGGTGTATAAATGGAAGACAGGAATAAATAAAGGGGATGTAAATAGTGTGCTGAAAATATCTAGCCTAGACAGGACTCGCAGCAATGGTTTTAAGTTGGAAAAATTCAGATTCAGGAAGGATATAGGAAAGTACTGGTTTGGTAATAGAGTTGTGGATGAGTGGAACAAACTCCCAAGTACCGTTATAGAGGCTAGAACGTTGTGTAGCTTTAAAATAGGTTGGATAAATACATGAGTAGATGTGGGTGGGTGTGAGTTAGACGTGATAGCTTATGCTACCAGGTCGGTTGCCGTGTTCCTCCCTTAAGTCAATGTGACCTGACCTGACTAGGTTGGGTGCATTGGCTTAAGCCGGTAGGAGACTTGGACCTGCCTCGCATGGGCCAGTAGGCCTTCTGCAGTGTTCCTTCGTTCTTATGTTCTTATGTTCTTATGTTAACACCTAGCATGGCTAGGCATTTCGGGCAGACTTAGATTAATTCTTAACTCTTAATTATTACAAATTATGGAGTAAGTTGGTATTATGGCTAAGTGACTAAATCATAGTTTTTGAGTTTAGCAATGTGAATGCTTTTGTTTTGGCACAATACATAGTTTCTGTATTGGAGTATCATAGGCAAACTTATGACTAGTTAGGATTCATTATTTTAAGATTAAGATTTGTATTTCTGTGTTTATGGTCAAATGGGTGAGTGAGTGTAAGTGTGAACCACCAGGTGGTATTCATGTAGTTAGTTGATGGGGTGTATCAGGGAGATGAGATGTTCTGCTCCAGTCCCATTATGACTCAGTTTATAGTGAGTAACTAACCAGACTCAGAGTGAAGATCCAAATGAATTTTTTATGAGCGAGACACAGAATTTGGTAGACTCAAATCTGACATTATCTTGATGCCAAATGGCTTCAAAAAGGCGATAAAAGACATACCCATGCATTCTGCCCCAGGCCCAGACTCATCAAACTCCATGTTCATCAAGAACTGCAAGAAGCTCCTGTGATATGCTTTTAACATCCTATAGAGAGGGAGCATGGACACAGGGGTCATCCCAAAACTGCCAAAAAGAACAGACATAGCCTCACTCCACAAAGGGGGCAGTAAAGCAATAGCAAAGAACTATAGACTGATAGTGCAAACATCCCATATCATAAAAATCTTTGAAAGGGTTCCAAGAAACAAGATCACCACTCATCTAGAAACCCTTCAGTTACACAATCCAGGGCAGCATGGATTAAGAGCAGGTCGCCCCTGCCTGTCCGAACTACTGGACCACTATGACAAGGTCCTTGATGCTCTAGAAGACAAACAAAATGCAGATGTAGTATACACAGACTTTGCAAAAGCCTGTGACAAGTGTGACAAGTGTGCATCATAAAGGAATAACAGGAAAAGTTGGTACATGGATCTATAATTTCCTAACAAACAGAACAAAAACGGTAGTTGTAAGCAGAGTAAAGTCTGAGATAGCTAATGTGAAAAGCTCTGTTCCACAAGGCACACTACTCATTCCCATCCTGATCCTCATCCTCATACCTGACACAGACAGAGATGTAAGCCACAGCACCGTGTTTTCCTTTGCAGATGACACCCGAATTTGCATGACAGTGTCCACCATTGAAGACACTGCAAGACTCCAGGTGGACATCAACCAGATCTTTAAATGGGCCACAGAAAACAATATGAAATTCAATGATGAGAAATTTCAATTGCTCCGATATGGAAAACGTGAGGAAATTAAAACTATATCAGAGTATGAAATAAATTCCCACCACACAATAGAGTGAAAAACTAATGTAAACGACCTGGGAGTGATCATGTCAGAGGATCTCACTTTCAAAGACCCACAACACTGCATCAATCACATCTGCTAGAAAAATGACAGGAAGGATAATAAGAACCTTCAAAACTAAGAATGCCAAGCTACATGAAAATCACTTCCTGTGAAAACAAAAGAATCAGACGATGCAACATCCCCCCAATGAAAAGCAGGGGTGTCACTAGCACGTTAAGAGACCATACAATAAGTGTCAGGGACCCAAGACTGTTCAACTGCCTCCCAGCATACATAAGGAGGATTACCAATAGACCCCTGGCAGTCTTCAAGCTGGTACTGGACAAGCACCTAAAGTCATTACTTGGCCAGCCGGGCTGTGGCTCGTACGTCAGGTTGTGTGCAGCCAAAAGTAACAGCCTGGTTGATTAGGCCTTGATCCACCATGAGGACTGGTCACAGACCAGGCCAAGGGGGTATTGATCCCCAATACCCTCTCCAGGTATACTCCAGGTATGGTAAGTGTGCACCGTAAAAAAATGAATCCTGCAGCATGCAGTGCATAATGAGGAAAAAAGACAGTTTTTGGATTAAAAGAGCAACTTTGCGGTGTATTATCATATGTTTTTTATGGTTGAATTTGAGGTTTCTTGGTTTTAGTACTGAAAATGGCTAGAAACTGAGCTCTAAGTATGAGAAATGTTCGATTTTTGCCGATGTTCAAAGGTAAACAAATGATGTCACTCGTCCAATACACATCAACTGGTGGGTCTAATATACATTCCTGAATGTGCTAATATTATTTATACAATTATTATAATATTGAATAACAATAAATCTTCTATTTTTTGGAGTGAATAAAAAATCCAAATGGAATTTATGTGTAAAGCCTTGAAAGATAACTAATAAACAGAGGAAATGTTATTTTAGTGCCAGGAATGTCTGCATTGTTTATTCTGGACCCTATTTTGAAATTAGAATATTTTGAACTGTGTTTGAAATTGGCCAAATTACCAATTTCCGATCACTTTATTGAGCAGTTGAAATAGATGATTAGGTGATTTCTTGTGCTCAATAGATAAAATGGAACAAATACTAGCAAAATAGCTAAGAATTTAATCTAATGAAACAATGGAATTGGCCAAAAATAGGACTCACATTGGGCAAAATCACCAATGCATAACAGCAAAATTTGCACGAACATAATTTAGTCAATTTTGTATCAAATTTCATACTTTTTGTTTTCTTACCTGAAAATTCTTGGACCTTGTCAGGAATTTTCAGAGTGGGGTCTGGACCTTCAAAGCATTAATAAGAGTACATTTGCACTGGAACACGACCAAAACAAACCTACAGTGTATAAATGGCTGCTTTTGTGTATTACTACCATATACCAGTATGCATTTTACTTCTACTTTTTGTATCTGATAATGTTCCGTTAATATCAGGATTGTTTTAGGCGACTAAAAATATTACTGGATTGTCTGATGGTACACCTGCTGATTTTACTAACTCTAGCATCTGATTTACCTACCGCTGCTCAATGCTAACAAATCTTTATAAATATGATTTTTTTTTATTATTATTGTTAACACATCGGCTGTTTCCCGCCAAGGCAAGGTGGCCCAAAAAAGAAAAACTCTCATCATCATTCACTTCATCACTGTCTTGCCAGAGGTGTACTTACACTACAGTTATAAAACCGCAACATTAACACCCCGCTTTACGAACACCTCCCAATGCGACCAATTATGTAAGTGTATTTATGTAAGTGCGTTTGTACGTGTATGTTTGGGGGTCTGAAATGGACTAATCTAATTCACAATATTCCTTATGGGAACAAATTCATTCAGTACTGGCACCTGAACATACTTCTGGAATGAATTAATATCATAAACCGGGGGTCCACTGTACTTCCCATCTCCAGGACTCAAGTCCGGCCTGCCGGTTTCCCTGAATCCCATCGTAAACGTTACTTTGCTAATTTCTGTTATTTATTCATCATTTTATACAAACTAGTTTACACGATTATATGTAGAAGCTTAGATTCCTGTCTAGCACTAAAACACTTCTCCAGGCTTAGGTTGCAGCCTATGATCAACATAACCTTCGGCCTCCAAGATGATGGGTAAATCTTCTAGATTTATTTAAAAAAAAAAAAAAAAAAAGCGTCTTTGACACAGTAAAATAGGGTATCTTCTTTTTGATCCTCCTCTTCCTTCGATAAAACCTGACTGCTTTCAATTACCTGACTCTTTTCCATGAGCACAAAAATAGAAGATCAATTACCAGCACACAGGTACTACCCCAGCTATTACCACCACGACCATTATCATCACCAAAACTACCAGTACCACTTCCACAACGATTTTTTTTTTGGTACAGTGCAGTACTGTGTTTAGATTTGGGTCCCATCCCCAAGCTATTCCATTTTATAAATGAAAAAATACAAATATTACAGAATTAAAAAAAATCCAAAATTCGAAACACTTCCAGTCCTGAGCATTTCAGATAAAGGATTCTCATGGGATTTTTTGGACTTAAGGATGACCCTATCCATTAAAAGAATGAAAATCATATTAATGAAAAATCTTCAAAGTAATATTATGAGTAACTTACTAATTGTTCAAACGTAAATCTATGTTCACTCGCGTAGCGCTCCGAACGTAGATCTACATTCTTTTTTTACATGCTTTCAAATTGAGAAAATAAAAGTCGGAGCGCTACCTGCGAAAACATAGATCTACGTTTGGACAGTTGAAAAGTTAATCAATAAGGAGTTAAGAAGTTCACAACTTACCCTACAGACACTGCCCCGCCCAGTGGAGAGAAGGAGCAATTAAGCATAGAGTCTCCTGCAAGTGCCGACCCCATGCTCTCTGGTTCATCTTCTTCGCTCATCAAGTTCCAAAACCGCAGAAACCTTCGAAGAAACAACTGCAATCAAATGATGATTATAAAGAATAAAGAGGCACAATACCGTGACTGGAAGAATACACAAATAACCTGCACATACGACGATGAAATTTATGACATTTTGGTCCAACCTGGACCATTAATTAGTCACAGGTGTGACCAGTTATGGTCCAACTTGGACCATTAATTAGTCACAGGTGTGACCAGTTATGGTCCAACTTGGACCATTAATTAGTCACAGGTGTGACCAGTTATGGTCCAACTTGGACCATTAATTAGTCACAGGTGTGACCAGTATGGTCTAACTTGGACCATTAATTAGTCACAGGTGTGACCAGTTATGGTCCAACTTGGACCATTAATTAGTCACAGGTGTGACCAGTTATGGTCCAACTTGGACCATTAATTAGTCACAGGTGTGACCAGTATGGTCTAACTTGGACCATTAATTAGTCACAGGTGTGACCAGTATGGTCTAACTTGGACCATTAATTAGTCACAGGTGTGACCAGTTATGGTCTAACTTGGACCATTAATTAGTCACAGGTGTGACCAGTATGGTCTAACTTGGACCATTAATTAGTCACAGGTGTGACCAGTATGGTCTAACTTGGACCATTAATTTAGTCACAGGTGTGACCAGTTATGGTCTAACTTGGACCATTAATTAGTCACAGGTGTGACCAGTATGGTCTAACTTGGACCATTAATTAGTCACAGGTGTGACCAGTATGGTCTAACTTGGACCATTAATTAGTCACAGGTTGTGACCAGTTATGGTCTAACTTGGACCATTAATTAGTCACAGGTGTGACCAGTATGGTCTAACTTGGACCATTAATTAGTCACAGGTGTGACCAGTATGGTCTAACTTGGACCATTAATTAGTCACAGGTGTGACCAGTTATGGTCTAACTTGGACCTTAATTAGTCACAGGTGTGACCAGTATGGTCTAACTTGGACCATTAATTAGTCACAGGTGTGACCAGTATGGTCTAACTTGGACCATTAATTAGTCACAGGTGTGACCAGTATGGTCTAACTTGGACCATTAATTAGTCACAGGTGTGACCAGTTATGGTCTGTGATGGACCAAAACATCATCTACAGTTTCGGTCTCTTATGTATGAGTTATTGTGATAATTATAACTTCTCATTCTGGGGAAACATTAGAACTTTCCCCACTAATAAACACTCAAGGAAGGTTCCTTGATGTTGGTGAGGGGTTCTTGATTTAGGGAATTGAATCTGTGCTCCAGTTCCCTGAATTAAGCCTGAATGCCTTCCACATCCCCCCCCAGGCGCTGTATAATCCTCCGGGTTTAACGCTTCCCCCTTGATTATAATAATAATCCCCACTAATAAACACTCATGAATGGCCACCAAGTAGAAAACATTCAAAATCGTTCGTTGAATTATTTCAGTTCATGAAATCACAATAAAATCACAGTAATAAAATCACAGAGTAATAAAATCAGAGCAATAAAATCACAGAGTAATAGAAATCACAGAGTAATAAAATCACAGAGTAATAGAAATCACAGAGTAATAAAATCACAGAGTAATAGAAATCACAGATTAATAGAAATCACAGAGTAATAGAAATCACAGAGTAATAAAATCACAGGGTAATAAAATAACACAACTGCCCTGTGAGTGTCAGGACTGGCCTGTCATGGATTCCGTGATTTGATTTAATTACATTTGGAAAAAAGTGATGATCCAATCATGGTTATTCAACAGTACAATCCAAAAAAGAACTCGAAATCAAAAATTGCTTTTGTAATATCATAAAATTTGAGACCTGAAAGGTGCGGCTAGTAATGAGTGATGGAGAACTGCACTAGAAATGTGAAGTATGTAAGACAGGTGGATGTATACATTTCCTAATGTAAGTGCAGGATTTTATGAGGATGATTTTGGAAAACAGATAAGTTGGAGAATGAGACACATTAGCAACTTTTAGGAATCTTTACTGTGGTCACATTTCACTTACGAGAGGCTTCTTTAGTCAAATAAATGTGCTCATCAACTAACAATGGAGTTACATTGCGATGAACCCATCGTAAGTTGGACATAAGTTGAATATGAAAATATGATAATAAATAAGTAAATAAATAACTACTTTCACTGAACAGATAAACAAATAATAATTGTAACTAAACACAGTAGACCCTCAATTTTCGTCGATCCCCTTTATTGCTGATTTCGGTTTTGGCTGACATTTTTCGTTGATTTTTTGGTTCTGCTTTTGTCAATTACCTCCATTTTCATCGATCGTATGGAACCTGTCCAGTGCCCAGCCTGCAGACAAAGCCACCTCCTACACGCATTCTCAGCCAGTGTAGCATTGTTTCTCAGCGAGTGAACATATTTTGGCAGGTCATATGAAACATTTCATAATAATCCATTGTTTTTGCCACTTGTTTATTGTGTGTGACTGCTAAATAGGTGACCATGGCCCCAAAGAAAGCTCCTAGTGCCAGTGCTTTGGTAAAGAAAGTGAGGAACACAATATCTCCCAGTGCATAGACCTTATACATAAGGCTTGGCAGGAAGTAGCTTTCAGGATGATAAACTCTGCTTGGGAAAAAGTGTGGCCAGATTGTGTCCGAAAGAAGGATTTTGAAGGGTTTGAGGCTGACTCTGTCGACCCTACACCTGCTGTGCAATCAAATGTGACACTGAGGAATTCTATGGGGTTGGATGTGAGTGGCGAGGATGTGGAAAAGTTGGTGGATAACCACAATCAAGAGCTAACCACTGATGAGCTGAAAGAGCTTCATCTGCAACAGCAACAGGCCACAGCTTAGGAAATTGATGCAGAGGAGGAGGAAGAAAGATGGAAGCAGGTGCCCTCTTCAGAGATTAAGATTTGTGCAATGTGGACTAGGGTGCAGTCATTTGTGGAGCAACATCACCCTGAGAAAGCTGTTGCCATCCGTGCTGGCGACTTTTACAATGACAATGTCATGTCCCATTTTAGGGACATTTTAAAGAGACGCCAGAAACAAACTAATCTGGACAGATATCTTGTGCGACAGGGGTCCAGTGACTCTCAAGCTGGTCCTAGTGGCAGTAACCCTTTGAGGGTCCACAGGCCCTCTCAGAGACTTGTTCTCAGGGTCCGCTAAATTTAAAAAAAAAAAAAAAAATTATTTTTTCTTATGAAAAGATAGGCTAAACAAAAAATTTTTACCATCAATACTTACCGAGATATGGAGGCGTGAGGTTTACACAAAATGCCCCATGTATGGTATCATTGCCAACTGCCGTCACCCGGTATTATTTGTTTTTGTTTTTTAGGTACTATTTTCTATTATTTTTTTATTTTTTTTTTTTTCCAAGTAACTTTTATGGCCTGTGAGACCAGTATTAGCACTATTTTAAAAAAAATTTCTCTTTATTTACTACACAATAACTCCACAAACACTGTTGTCCTTATATTGTTTATAATTGTTGTTTACAAACACAAACGATATAAAATGTTGTTTATTACTATTTTTCTATATTTTATATACACATATACAGTCACAGGGAATGTTTCTAGAAGTTCTGCAGCCTGTGGAACTCTTTGAAACATGGTGTCATGCACAGTGGTGTTTTACACTCCTCACACATAAAACGAGTGTCTCTGCGTTGTTGTGGGCGTTTTCTTGTACGTGCACAGACGTAACACCTCTTCTGAGTCTTTTTCTTGAAAGCAGTAGCAGGCAGTTTTACCAGGAAGTGATCACCATGCTTCAGACGAGAAGGAAGTTGTTGATAATTTAGTGGGCGGTCTATTGCAGGTGTTGTTCCTTGGTACTTGAATACTATTTGTCTGATGATAGACAAACAAAATTTGGCATATAATGGTTTGTTTCTGGTCCTCATCTTATACATATTATAAGCATTGAGCATGGAAATGTCCAGAAGATGGAAAGAGAGTTTTATGTACCACGTATAACTCTTGCAAACACAATCAGCAAACCCAATCTGCATGTCACATTTGTCCACTGAGCGCATATTGAGGGTGTAATCAATCACAGGTACAGGTTTTAGAATGGGTTCATTGCTCTCTCTATGTTGCCTGTCAGTGTCTGCTATTTCATTAGGGTGAACTAATGACAACAGTGTGACATCTCGTTTGTCATGCCACCGAAATGCCATGATGTCATTGGCAGCAAATGCCTGCACCTGACCTCTACGAGTGCCAGCGTCAAACCTGGGCATATGTTTACGATTTGCATGCACTGTGCCACACACATCTGTCATGTTCACTCGCAAAAAATCACTGAGTGAGGGGCTTGTGCACCAGTTATCAGTATATAATATATGCCCCTTACCAAGGTATGGTTCCATCATTGTTCTAACCACATCACCAGAGATCCCCAATAACTTCCTGGTATTTTGCAATGTATAACTTCCAGTGTACACAATAATATCCAATACAAGACCACTGTAACAATCACATAGCACAAACAACTTTATACCAAAGCATTTCCTCTTGCTTTGTATGTACTGCTTGAAAGTCTTCCTTTGAACAGAATCAAAGACTCGTCAATTACAAGTTTCCTGAAGGAATAAAAATACATATTGTATTTCTCTTTCAGATACACAAACACATGCCTAATCTTATATAACCTGTCGTTTCTGTCAGGCCTGGTTTTGTCTGAGAAGTGAAGCATACGTAACAGTAGCACAAATCGATTCAATGGCATTATATCACTGAAACCTGGGGTTGCAATCAGGCAGTCTGTTGACCAGTATGATTTCAAACTGTGCTTATACACATGTGGCATAAGCATTATTGTAGCAAACAAAATATACATCTCAGCCACAGTTGTCTCCTTCCACTGATGTAGATGTGATTTTGGTGAAAGTATTGTGTTTGCCATGGTGTACTCGTAGTATGTGTTGCTTTCCATGACAATAATTTCCATCAGGGGTTCGTCTAAGAATAACTCGAAACATTCCAGTTCAGTGGCATTGTTCCCCAGTGTACAACATGGCCGTATTCCACTTTGGCTTTCATCAA